GCCGCGGGTCCGGACCCGGCGGGAGCAAGGAGCCCGGGGGGGCTGGGGGCGAGGGCACGCGCTGACGCGTGGCCGGCCCTGGCTGCCCCAAGGAAAGCAGAGCGAACTCCCTTTGCTCCCGAGGGACAAGAGGGTTCCGATCGCTCTCTCCAGGCCCGAGAAACAGGTTCCCCAAGGAGCCCCTCGGACCCCTACTCTCTGCAGACTGCCTGTCCTGAGCAGGAGAGACTTGGAAAGTGGAGAGAGGGGCAGTGGGTGGCCGCACTTCCCCGGGACCCTGCCTGGCCGGCGAGTTCCAGCCTGCTCGCTCTCCGCACAAAACGAAACCCAAATGCCCAAAAAATCTCAAGGAAGGAATTTAACCAAAACAACCCCCAGAAGGCCCTCTTCCACCCTCCTTCTTTTTGAACAAACCAGCTGCTCAGGAAAGATTTAAATAAAAACGAAATGAGCAACAGCGAAGGACACTGTCTTTCCAAATTGTGCAATTTCACCTTTGAAAAATGTTTTCCCTAAGGCCAACCCCAAGGAAGGCCGGCCCTGTTGAAGCCTTTGCCTCATCCAGAAAATCACAACAAAGCCGTCGGAAATGCGGCCTCGCTCCTGGGAGGAAGAGGAGCCAGACGCCCCGGGAGCCCACAGTGGCCGAAGCTGCCTTGCTCTCCTCTTTAACCAAAGAAGAAGAAGAAAAACCTTTTAATACATCAAATATACGGAATTTTAATCTTTAAAGCGATACATTGTCTATTATTTTAGTACATGACGTAAACCTTGTCCCCTTCTCAGCGGGTGGACTTAAAAATTAAAAATAGTTAAGTGTTCCTTTTAAAGAACAAAATAAGGCAAATGAGGTTTTGGAATAGAATTGTTTTTCCTTTTTTTTTGTGTTTTCTTCCAGAATACATACAAAAAAATACCCATTCTCTTTCGATGGTATACACCTTAAAAATAATTGGAATTTGAAATCAGAGCTGACAAATTGTGAGTCGTTTTGTTTCGTCTTTTTCATTTTTTGTAACAAACATGCATATGTAAATTTGTGTTTCAATCAGACATTAAATAAGAACGTACGATACAATCATAGCAATTTTAAAGTAACATTAAAGAGAAGACCTCTAGTTCTGTGGCGGTTTTGTTTTTATTTATAATCTACAAGGGATAGGAGGGTTTGTTTTCCACGTTTTTACCCTCAAGTTTAAAAAAATTTTTTTTCTCCCTCCTCTTTACCTACGGAGCTCAAACTAAATAATGCACTTTTGAACCACGCGTCCGCTTGGAGCTAACATAAATAAATACCAGTGTTCACCGATGAAGTCCTCGGGTGAACACTTTCTCAATTATTTTTTCCTTCTTTTCTATAAAAAGTCAAATGATATTTTTTTCAACTTTTATAAAGTTTGGGTGGGGAGGTGAGTGGTGGAGGAGAGGGTAATTTCCCACCGGGTCTCGATCGCTGCTGTTGGGTTGTGAGATGCGGTATACATTTTCCTTCCGTGGCCTGGGTCTTCCCCACGCGCGCGGGAGTCGCAGCCTCTGCGGTGATCCCGCCCCTCCCGGGGCTCCTCCCCTCCCCGTCGATCCTTTCTGTCCCTCGCTGGCCGCCCGGGCCGCCCTCACTGATACCCCAGCGCCGAGGCGGTGGTCAGTCTCTGTCCGTAGAGGGCGTAGGGGGAGTAATAGGGTCCGGTGGCGGCGGGCACCGGCACCGGGGCGCCAGGCGTGGGGAGCGGGCTCTTGGAGTAGGGGTGGTAGCGGCTGCTGAGTCCCAGCGCGTGGTGGGGGCTGCGCAGCGCCAGGGTCCCTGGGCTGCCGGGTGCGCCCGATGTGGGGATGTGCATGTGGCAAGCCATGGCAGCTGCGGCGGCGCTGGCCAGAGACGACGAGCTGGGGTAGCCCGACAGCAGTTTGTCTGTCCCAGGGAAGGCCGTATGGGTCCGCAAGTGGCTCAGTAGCTCTTCGGACGTGGCGAAGCGCTTGTCGCACGGCCCGTTGGCCGACACCCAATTGCAGATGTGGGGGAGCGGGTCGTTGGGGAGCATGAAGCCGTAGGGGTAGAGGGGGTGGCCGGCCAGGGAGGGCGGGGTGGCGCCCGCCGCGGCAGCGGCCGTGAGCGAGGAGTGCACGCCGTGCAGCGGGTGCGTGGGGTACACCAGCGGGTATCCGGACTTGAGCGCGGCCGCCGCAGCCGCGGGGTCGTGCGCGCACGAAGCGCTGGCGGCCGCCGCCCCGGCCAGGTGGCTGGCGCAGTGGTAGCTTAGGCAGTACGGGTCCCGGCACAAGCTGGCTGTCATCACGGAGGGCGGCGACGCCCCGGCCAGGGGGCTGGAGCCTGCAGGCTTGCTGCAGCCGAGAGAGCCGGCCGCGGCCGCAGCCAGCTGCGCGCCCACCAGGCTGCCGGGCTTGGTGGGGTCGAGCGCCACGCCGTGGGGCAGGAACTGGGGCGGGTACCCGGCGTAGGCCCCGGCCAGGCTGCCTGGGTAGGTCATGCCCGCCGGAGGCAGAGGGAACACTGTCTGACCCGGCTTGTAGGGAGACACGGGGGCCACCAGCCCCGAGCCCAGCACCGAGGAGGAGGTGGGCGCGCTTGGGCCGGAGCCCGAGCTGGAGCCGGACGAGCCTCCGCAGTCCGAGCTCAGCGCCTTGCCTCCCGGGCCCCCGTCTGGGTGCTGGTTCACGTCCACGTTGATGCCGCCGCCGCAGCTAATCCGGCCGTGCGCCAGCCCCGCGGATCCCCCTTCAGCCGGGGCGCCCCCCGCGCCCTTGCCGCCGCCGCCCCCGCCCGCGTCGGGGTCTTTCTTGTCGTCCTTGCCCTCCGGGCCGCCCCCGGCCGAGGGCAGCATGCCTCCTGGAGAGCAGGCCGAGGCGCTGGAGCTCGGGCTGCCTGTCCTGGGCGTGAATGGCTGGCAGGTGGCGCTCGGTACCCGGAATCCGGACTTCTCCGCCGAAACACCCCCGCCGCTGCCCCCGCCGCCGCCGCCTCCCGCGCCGCCTCCGGGTTCCTTCTTATCCGAACCGGGTTTGGAGTACGGCTTGAAACTCGACTTGTCCTCTACGCCAATGTCGCTCAGCTTCAGGGGGCCCGACTTGGCGTCCTTGTCTCCCCCGGCGCCGCCGCCTGCACCACCCGCGCCGCCCCCGTTGGAGGCGACCGAGGAGAGTTTGGAGGAGGGCGAGGGGTCGGGCTTCCCGATCTGCGAACATGTTTGCGCCAGCAGCGCCAGCGGGCTCTTCTTGGCATCGAGCTGCAGGGTCAGACGGGGGAGGAGAGTCACACAGAGAAAGAGGAGAAACCCTTTAGATTCCTGGCTTTTAGGGCTCTAAGACCCCTCCGAGACAGCCCGCAAAGAGCATCGCACACCCAAGGCGCAATCCGAGGCAGCACCCCCTCCACACCCACCAGCAAGAGTCTCACCCTTGGGAGATGCCCCCTCCCGTTTGGGTCCTGCCTGCATTCTCCGAGCTCTAACTGGATTTGGGGAAGGGGGAAGTCTCAAAATGTTTTGGCTTTCAGCTCCTAGAGCCAGAGGTGTAACCCCCCGCCCGCACACACTCCTTGATTCTTCAGAGTAAGGGCTTGGGTGCCTGGAGCCCCAGAGGCTGTGAACACATTCTAGCTTCTGGGGAGCCTGAGGACGCCGACTTTGGGACGGTATTTCAGGCCCCCACCCTCCTTCGGGCGCCAGTAGGTGGGGGCTTGGGTTGGGGTAGGGGATTTAACACTAAAAGGAGACACAAGTTTGGGCCGCAGTGCCCGCTCGCATTCGCACCCCATTCCACCTTCCCCCTTCTCAACCTAGTTTGAGGTGCGGAAGCAGTGCCCTCTTCCCCCATCCCGAAGCTGAATCACTCCGACACCCCGCCCCCACCCTCTGATCCCAGCGGAAAGAAACCCCGCAGAGAGGCAGCCAGGGTGGTGGCCCCTGCTTGACCCTGGGAGAGGGTCCTTACCTCGATGGGGCTGACGGGCGTGGAGGGCAGGGGCTGCAGGTACTCGGGGTGCAAAATGTGGCCAGTCCGAGCGGTCAGCATCTTCAGCACCTTGATGGGCAGGCGGTTGGCCTGGCGGAGCGGGTCAGAGGGGGGCACGGCGTGCACAAAAGGCTTGGTGCTGCCGGGCGGGGACGAGCCTGGGCCGGGGCCGGAGCTATTTCCAGAGAGCGCGCTGCTGGTCCAGGCAGGGTCCGCGCCGCCGCCGCCGCCGCCGCCGCTGTGCTTACTGCTTCTTAGGGCAGAAAGCGAGGGCGCTGTGCTCATGACCCACCCGCGCGCATGGGAGCAGCGGGGGGAGGCGCGGGGCGGGCTCCGGGCTGCGCGCTCGCCCGGGGTGCAGGAGCAGCGGCAGGAGGAGGAGGAGCCGGTGCGGCGGCTACCGGCGCCCAGCGCGCCTTCTCGGCGCCTGGAGCCAGAAGCGAATAATCCTGGGTGGCCGCCGCGGAGCCGTGGCCAGGCCGGAGCGGCCGGCGGGACTGC